AATAGTCTGCATTCACCACTGCATTAAAATTCTTTCCTCTGTTTTATCTAAAAGGACCTTTAGCATAAGTCACAGAAGATAAACTTGTTCCCGAGTTAGTAAAACAACAAGACCACCATCAAGTAAGAGCAGCACAGCGCGGGATGAACTCAGCCCTAGCCTGTTAGTAATGGGCTTATGAGTGACTTCACTTGTTTCTTTTAAAAATCCAAGCTCCTGAAATGTCTCTCTCCAAGGCACAATTGCAGTATTTTTTTTTTGGCTTGTCATGTTTGTGTTGGCGATGGCACTCTGGAATCTGAATTTAGCGGGTTATCTTTGGTGTTAGTATGTAGCCCCTGAGGCTGGTAGTCAAGTCGAGGTTTGGCTGCCTGTGTTTTATCCGAAGGGTTCAGACTCACTGTGGGGGTCAGATACCGGGGTGCAGCGTCCTCCTAGATCCAGTTCTGGTCTAGGCTGGCAGCAAGCATGTGGGGAGGCTGTGCAGAGCGGGTCCAGGGCAGCCTGACAGCTGGAGCTGTGCGGAAGGCAGCCTGAGACTGGGAAGGACCCGTTCATTGAGGCGGGGACACTCACCCGGAAACGGAGGTTGGGAGGATGTAGCATATTGGCTTGTGTAGAAGAATGATGGAGAATGGGAGGGATTAGAGGCGTGATGTAAACGGAAGCTGGGACTAAATTTGTGTGAGCACTGTGAAGTTGAATTGTGGGCCAAAGCCAGAAGTGCCAACTACATTGTCTGTAGTTGCTTCGGGGCCTGCACGGTGGGGAGTCCCGTGGTGCAGACCTGGGTGCGGAGGACACGGCGGGGTGTCGCGGGGACCCGAAACCTCCCCGGAGCCGCAGTCGCCGCACGGGGCAGCCTGGGAAAGTCACCAGTCAGCAGCGCAGTGGCGGGAACCGCAGCCCGGCGGCCCTGGAACCTCCCAGGTCAGAGGAGCTGCGGGGCTGGGACACGGGAGGGAGGGACCGGGGCGCGAGCAGTTTCTCTGCTGTTCATAAGGAAGCCAGATCTGAAGTTCTGCTGTATATTTCTTTCCCTTATCGGTAAATTTTCGATCATAATAACTGGAACAATCCTGGTTTTTTTCCTCCCCTTATCTTCTGATGTCAAAATATCCTAATAATAATTAAGTAGGATATTTGAATTTATCTGTTGATATTTGCAAACACGGTTCTGTTTGCAATGGTGGAAACAACAAAGCTCTTGAAATTGACAATCATCCATACTAACTCCCCTGTTATACCGCTTCCTTATTCAAAAGAGGGAGACTTGAATTTCCCATGAACTTTTAGATATTAATCATGAACGCAACGCCTGCAAATTTCATTGAATCTGAAAGTATATTTTTTTGCGAGTTCCTCAAGTATGGTTGTAAACATTAACCTTTAAAAGTTAAATTTTATCCACCATTAATTTTCCATCTGAGTCATATGCAATGTAAATACAGCATTCTGAAGTGTCTTTGCAGGCCTGGCAGTTCAGGCCTTTAATCCCAACACTCAGAAGGCAGAGGTAGGTGGATTGCAGTGATTTGGAGGCCAGCAAGGTCTACATAGTGAGTTTGCGGACAGCCAGGGCTATTTGGTGAGACCCTGTCTCAAAGAACAATAAATTAAAACAACAACAACAAAAAAAATACAAAGAAAAAAATAGACCATGAAATCCAAAATGTGTATTTTTTGTGCTGAGTTCTTAGTGCTGCATCTTAGGGCCTGGAAGAGCACAGTATGCTGTCTTATGGTTTCAGATCACAGTATTTTCGCAGTTAGTAAAGGTGTTCTAAGCCAGGTGGTGGTGGCACACTCCATTCATTAATCCCACCATTGGGGAGGGAGAGACTGGTGGATCTTAGAGTGACTGGATCCGTGCCAGCCTGGTCTGCAGTGTGTGTTTAAGGATAGCCGAGGCTACACAGAGAAACCCTGTTTGGGAAAGAGAGAGGGAGAGGAAATTAAAAGGTATTGTGGCCTCTGCTGCCACCTGGGGCCATGGTGACATCCCAGCCCCAGCTGTTTCCAAAGACATGTCTGGATCCCGTGTCCTACCACTGCCTTGGTCCGTACTGACGTCCCCGGCCCATTTTTTCACCAAAGGCCACATGGATGTCCCAGGCATAGGTTTCCTCAAGGCTGGCTTCTTGGCCAATTGCGCTGCAAGTGTGTGACCTGTGTGTGAGTGAGTCTCACTTCTCGCAGAGAATAGTGAAATCCTCAGATGAAAAAAGAAAATTTTCAAGAAATTTTCTCCCTTTGTGTCCCTTTGGGAGGTGTAAGGCTTCATCATTATTGGTCCGTGATCAATTCAGAACCTCATTAGGGTATAATACTCTGTTCAGTACCATTTCTGCCCCTGAGTTTTGACTGAGCTGTGATTGGAAGTGGGGATTCAAGTTACAATAACTAAAAATGCTTTCTAATTGTTTTCAGTTCTGATCCTGCAGGACAGTGGGGGAATCACTTGTCTAATCCTGTATTTAGTTTTCTCTTCATCTACTGAGCACAGTCCTGTGTTAGAAATCCAGGTGCTTCCTGAACAATCTCTTTCTCATGTGCAGGTCTCACTGATCACCCAGACCTGCTCACCTGTGCAGCAGAACAAAGTGACCTGGAAGGAGAGAGGAGACACTAAGGATGCAGGTATCATGTAGACATTGGTGAAGGAGTAGAAAGGGGATCAAGTGAATGTGGAAGTGGGACATGAAATCAGTTTTCCCACATTCTATTTCACTAGAGATAATTCCGGAGACTTCCACTGAGGAGAAAATTCTCAGGATTATCCTAATGCAGGCATGAGAAGATTTCTACAGAAGAATTGATAACAGAGTCAAATAAAATTTTCTTTGACTATGCATGTGAGTGATGCTTATTCATTCACATCACGGATCATGTTTTCATACCATTATTGAGTCATTTTCACTTCTTTGTTTTAATATATTGTAAAATGATGAAAATTAATGCCTCAGGGTTTATTTATTGTTTTCAGAATTTTTGAGCTTTGGTATTCTAGTACATTCTCTACCTTTTAGTGTTTTTTTTGTCTCTGTCCCTGAAAATCATGCCAACAGTGTTTTGATGAAGAATCAGGAAGTACATATCCAGACTGTTAAACTGTGTCTACACTGTCTTCCCATTGATATCTGCTCTTGTCTGTTGGGAATTAGTATAAATATTTAGAATGTAATTAAGGGTTATGCTTGTTTAGTAAAGTACTGGTTGTAGGTTCTCCTCCAAGATCCATGCCTTTACTAGCCCTAGGGAAACTGGCTAGGTTTTCAGTACCAGACATGTTTTGCCTCTTGTTGAGAGGGTCTTAATCCATATATAAGCTGTTCATTACCACCAAGGTCTGTGTGCCTCTCTTGCACCCGTAGGGCTATCATGCAGTGCAGATTATTGTTGTGGTTCATGGGTGTCAATAGCTGGGTTGGACTGTTGACTGGCTCCCTCCTTTGGAAGGTGAAATGTTGCATTCTGGTACCATGAAAGCTAGTCCTCAGGAAGGAGGGTCTAAGGTCATATCCATCTGGAATTTTCTGGTTTCTGTCTGAAGGGCATGGCTTGTTCAACAACAAGGAAGGTGACTTCTATGTCTGGGAGGCAGAAAAGGGCAACAGTACTAGTATATAATGATTTGGAAGTCTCTTGGGCAGCTGTGACCAGTTACTTCAAAGCAAACTTCTCTTCCCTGGTGTTGCTGATTTTGTTAGATAATCTGTAGCTCTTATGAGGAGCATCATCAGCCCAGATGAGAAATTTTTATTTATACTCTAACTGTATTTGCATGCACACACTTATATGTATTATAGGCATATTTGGTAGATGGATAATAGTATGATTCCTTATGATGGTTTCAGACATCCCTTCTCCATAATTAAAATCCCTCTCTTTCTTTTCCATTTCTCCCTTCAGATCACATGTTCCCTACTACTCTCCATTACTCTCTATTACTCCCCTATATCCCATAGTGCTCTCTTTTTACTTTTCTGGTTACTCTAGTTACTCCAGGTTATGTACTCACATCTGAAGATTTGGAATTAAGAACTTCCTATGAGAGAGATCATGCTATGTATCTCTTTCTGGGTCTGGGTTATCTCACTTAATATGATCTTTTGTAAGTCCATCCATTTACTTGCAAAGCTCGTGATTTCAACTTTCTTTACAGCTGAATAGTATTCCACAGTGTATATGTACTACACTTTTACTGTCCGTTTGACAGTTGAAAGACATTAAGGTTGTTTCCCTTTTGTAGCTGTTGGGAATACAGCAGCAATGAACATGGGTGAGCAAGTATCTGGAGTAGGATGTCAAATCCTTTGAGCATATACCAAGGAATGGAACAGCTGGGTCATGTGCTGAATTTATTTAACTTGACGGTTTGTTTATTTAATTGAGGATTCTCTATTTTGATTTCCAGTGTGGCTAGTTTTTTTTGTTCATGGTGTTTTTATTTCCTATGATTTTGTTTTTTATGTTTTTACTGGTTGGATTATTGGTATTCTTCTGTTTTCTTTTTAAGAAACAGTGATTTGCTGTCTTGCTCATTGATGATTACTCTCCAGTTCTCCTGTATTTCTCTATTCTTCACATGAAATTTATTATTTCCCATGTTCTCATGGATGATTCTCTGACTCTCCTGTGTATATTTTGCCTTCATTTATTTATCTGCAGTGCTGCTTTAGTGAAATCAGTTGTGTTAATTGGTGACTATCTTGAAATGCACTTATGTCCCCATCAATTTTAAGAGAGTCGTTTACTTTGTGCTACAGGATACTTGATGGTGATTTTCTCTTTAAGCCTCAAATGTCTTTCCATGCTCTTCTGTCTTTGGGATCATTGATCTGACATGTGATAGAATTCTGTTGGTTGGGTTTTTCCATGTGGTTTGACATTGTTCTCTAACAGCTTTCAGTGTTAATATTAACTTTTCCTTCTTGACCCCTGATTTGAAAGGGAAGCAAGTCATATATTCATTGTTCCTGAAAGAGAAACTCAAAGAAGAGAATCAGTAAGAAATGGCTGATTCCCCAGTAAACATGTCGCAGGTCAGTGGTACTTTCCACTCTTTATCTAAATCTGTTATACTTTCATGTATTAAAAGCCTTGAATTTTCTGATTCTGATAATTTTAAAAATTTTATTATGAAAAATGATATAAATAGATAAACAACAAAATCACATGCTGAAATTAAGCAGACCCAACGACTATGCAACTCGGTGTCCTTTTATACAGTTAGAGTTGTCATAGGCAACAGAAGCTCTAGAGCCTCACAGGGGATTTTATATTTTCACAATTGAATATATTTTGACTTACTTATCAACCACCAAAATTAGACAGAATTAGAAGGAAAAAAGCAATTAGCGTTACATCCTTTTTCATAACTTTTGTTCATTACCTGCATTCAGTCCCTGATAATTTAACCTTCTTCTTCTCTTTCCTCCATTTTTTCCATATACTTATATTATTGGCTAGATTCTTCATATAAGTGAAAATGGGATTTCTTCTTTCTGACACTGTATGATCTCTTTAATATTACACATTCTGAGTCCATCCATTTTCCTGCAGTTTTTATTACATTTTTTTCTTCAGCTGAATAATATTCTATTTTATACAATTTTCATTATCCATTCATATATTTAGTAGATAATTAACTTGATTTCAGTACTTCCTAAGGTAAATTAAGCAGCAGTAAACATGGGGTATAAATATTTCTGTAGTGGGCTGTGTTGTTCTCTGAGTACATGACCATGTGTTCAAGAGCTGGATCATATGTAAGTTCTCTCTTCAATTTTTTCAGTAATCTCCAAACTGATTCCACAATGGCTGTATTAGTTTGCACCCTCCCCTCCTTCAACAGTGAATAAGGCTTCCTTTCTCTCTCTATCCCCTTGAACAGTTGTCAGGTCAGTTGATGAGAGCCATGCAGCCTTGGGTGAGGCAGTATTTCAAAGTAGTTTTTAATTTGCATTTCCATGATTTCCTTCCTGGGATCCTGAAGACTTTATTGAATGTTTATTGAACATTTATGTTTCTCTCTTCACAAAGTGTCTACTCAGTTCATTTGCCCATTTGTTAATTTGTAGTTTTATTTTCTTGTAATTTAATTTCCTTCATTTTTTTTCTAAATTCTAGATATGACCCCCTATCCAAAGCGTCGCTAGTACAGATTTTCTCGCATTCTGTGGGGTGTCTGTGTGCTCTGCTGACAGTTTCTGTTGATACTTGGGTTAGTTCCTATCCTGGTAGTGTTCTTTCTAATCAATAAGTCCTTGCCCATCCCAATATCCTCATGGGTCTTCCCTATGTTTTCCAGGTTTCTGTGTTCCTGGTTTTAAGTAAGGCTTTTGATCTATTTTGAATGGATTTTGTACAAGGTGAAAAATAAAAATCTAATTTCATTCTCCTGCTAGAGTTTGGCCAGCACCATTTGTTGAAAAGGCCATGTTTTTGTAATGTATCTTTTTGTCTTCTTTGTCAAATATTAAGTAGGCATAGAATTATGGTTTTCTTTCTGGGTCCTCTATCATCATTTTTGATATAGTTCTGTCATCCTTCTTTCTGATTTTATGATCATACTAGGCTGTATTTATAACTACAAATTTATAATATAATTCCATAAATCCACACTTATATCACTTTTCTCCATTTTCCTCCTTCCCAGATTATCCCTCCCATCCCCCAGGGCAAATATCTCACATGAACTTATGACCTTTAATTTTGAAAATATTTCCACTTTGACACATGAACAAATGTATGTTGATGCCCATTATCTGTAGAGAATGGACTATATCCTTATATACTGTTGAGTAAGGATCCATGTGTCATAGAGGCTCCATTTGTGGGATCTGTCCCATTTCCTTGAATCATGCTCATAAAAATGCATATTGAAACACATAGATAAGTTTCCACAGCATCTTTGAAATGTGTGGAATTAAAAGAGACTTATATCTTGGTTCTTAATGCTAAATAATACTTAATTCCTAATACTAAACTGTAGAGTGCTGAACATGGCTGTCACATGTGGCTTGATCCTACCATGAAATTGATGTTCTTGAGTGTAGATTCAGATTGTAGTCTACTTGTATTTCTCTTTGGTGTTTCATATTACAGTAGTGATGATGTGTCCATCTGTTTGTTGACACCTGATATCTGTTTCTCTCAGGAGAATAGCTGCTCACATCACTCACTTGGTTAGGGGGCTCAATGGTAACTTCCCAAAGTAGAAATATCATTATTTTTCCTTTGTCTTTTTTCCCCCCAAACAGCATCCTCTGTGCTTTTGGACTTGGACTCATTATGTAGCATTATGTGGAATGCATCAGTAAAAATGTCTTGAGGCCATGGACAGATTGATGTGTATAAGCCATCACAATTGATGCAGAAAGAACATTCCTCATGATTGCCTTCCTCTAGTCAGTTCCTGTGAGAGTCGTGGCTCGACTCCTCTGTGCTGAGGCTCCAGTGTTTTAAAGTGGAGATTTGAGGAATGGGCTCTGACCTGCAGGTTTGCATTTCTGTCCTTGATTCATGGCTCAGACAGAATATGTCACCACTTTGTGCTTTCATGGGAATAACAGGAGAATCATAAACACTACTAACGTAAAATCTGCTCGACAATACAGTATAAGTACTGAAAAAGAACACATCGATGACTACAAAATTCACACACAGTATTTCAGATTTCTCCTGAGCCATCCTTCTGTGCTCTATTATATTTGCAAAGCACTGGAAGTATCTATAATTTGCAGAATTTAATATATTCGTTCATTTACTCACAGGAAATGTATGTCGGTTTGTTAATCCCAATGTCAAGAATAAGACCATTATCCCAATTTGAGCCAAATTTGAAGCAAGCTTGATTTTTTATTGGGGTGCACCCAAGAGCTGGCCAGCAACTGCCTCCTAAGTCAGGTTAAAGAGAGCAGCACCAAATCCACCTCTTAGTCCCTTTTAAGGAGTAAAATCGTGAGAAGTTTACAGAAGGGAGAGAATGGGGCAATAAAGAAATAAAAGAAATCTTTAAAAAGCATCATATGGTCACCATGTGATTAGGGAGGGGTAAGGGAGGTTTAGGGAATTCTCAGAAGTATATCAAGGTCATGGGTTGGGGAAGGTCAGGTTCCAGGAAACAGAGCAACTCAACTCTCACAGTAAATAAAAACTTAATTTTAAAAATACGGCACAATGGCTCCTGCCTTCAAAATGGAGTCAAGCAGGTCCCCCAACTTCTGAATGCCTCCACAGTTTCTACTATTATGATATGGTGGGCAGGAGGCCTCAGCAGGTTGGGCCAAGGTACCTCGGTGGATGAGGGAGACACCTTGCAGAGGAGGGCTGCGGCATGGAGTGGTGGAATGTTACTGACACCATGCAGACATGGCATCCATGTGGAAAACTTTATTGGGGGAAGAGAGAAGGGAATGGAGGGAAGAAGAAAGAGAAGGGAGGGAGAGAGAGTGGAGGTGCACACCTCACGGGAATAGAAAGCAAGGGAGCCAGGCGGTGGTGGCGCACGCCTTTAATCCCAGCACTCATGAGGCAGAGCCAGGCAGATCTCTGTGAGTTCGAGGCCAGGCTGGTCTACAGAGCGAGATCCAGGACAGGTACCAAAACTACACAGAGAAACCCTGTCTTGAGAGAGAGAGAGAGAGAGAGAGAGAGAGAGAGAGAGAGAGAGAGAGAGAGAGAGAGACAGAAGAAGGAGGAGGAGGAGGAGGAGGAAGAGGAGTTTTCTCTTAAAGTGGGCTCTACTTAAGATGACATCAGGACGCTGGGTGGGCCAGGGTATTATCTGCTTATTGGCCAGAATTCCAGGAAGTGGTTCTGAATGCTATCATCTACACTTGCATATACATGCTTACCTATACTTAAACATTATTTTATGTATTTTTAACTTCCTTCAATTTTTATTACTCTTTGTGAGTAAAGTGAAATATTCTTCAAACTTCTAAAATTGCCTATATTGACTTAGGCATATGCTTTGGAAATTTTTAGATTGTATCAAATGTGGCTGATTTGGATTTTTTTATCTGCCTCACAGTGGCCCACATATTCTTATACAATTAGTTCCTTAGAGTACCTGATCTTATATGGTAATGTTAAAATTGACAGTATGCAGTGCTGTTAGTATCCTTTTTACTGTGGGGAAAAAAAGCAAATCTCTTTGTCTGTAAAGTCAATCATGAATTCCATCTTCCTTACCTAACCCTCTGCTATTTAATGGTGTGGCATTGGACCTAGACTTTAAACATCCCAACTGAACCTTTTAGAATAGATTCACGTAAGACCCAAGTACAAACAGAATTGATTTGTGTGAGTGTTTTACCGTGATTTACAGCTACAGCATTTAAAGCACATTTCCTCATCATAAATTTTCCTTCTGAGACATGTCTGCTGTGATCTTGTGTGACATAAACAGCATCCATAATAGATAACAGTATCCAGACCTTAAATGTATTTCTTCTTCCTTCCTGTATACTGCTTGTAAAACTGTTGTTTCATCCTATTTTCATGGAGTTAGAACATTCATGATAGAATATGACTATGTTAGAAATAATCTTTTTTAGTAATTATCTTCACTCACATTCCATCTCTTTATGTCCAGGAAAGCACTTCCAGGTTGTACATGGTCAAACCATATGCTTTTGTTTCAGGGTCTGTTGACATTCGGGGATGTAGCTGTGGACTTCCCCCAGGAGGAGTGGGAATGCCTGGACTCTGCTCAGAGGGCTTTGTACATTGATGTGATGTTGGAAAATTACAGCAACCTGGTCTCTGTGGGTGAGAACATTTTGCTTGTAGAATTCCTAACTGATCCTTTGTGTGTACTGACTTCATAGGTTGTAAACTCTCTGGTAAGCTATCCTTGAAGTCACAGGAGACTGGGAAATTTTGATAGTAGAAGGGAACCTTTTTGTGGTATTTAGTTTTTTCTTTCCATTTTCCATCTTCAAGGTGTCATGCACCCTTCATTTAGGTTCCAGGATGCATTCATGAACTCAGTAGCATATAATATTTCCACCACTATCTTAAAGCTCCATGTCCATCATTGCATTTTACATTGTTTTAATTGTGGGGAAAATGTGAGATGTGCAAACTGACAATTCCCCCTAAATATGCTGTAGATGCTGACAGGAAATAGCAATAGGAAATCATTAATTCCTCTACTTTCTGTTCTCTTCATGTACTGAGCCCAGTACTGTGTTAGACATCTGTATTCTTTCTAAAAATTCTAGCATGGGTCGTGGGCTACCTCACAGAACACGTGCATTATTATATGCAAGGTTGGCTTGGTCACCGGTTCAGTGCAAATGAGATTGCCCTGGAATGTGGAGAGGAGAGAGGAGCCACAACCAGGGTGGGCTAGCGAATAAGCAGGACAGCAGTGAAGGGATCAAGTGAAAGAGAAAGCAGGAGATGAGAATGCTCTGACTATATTCAATTCTACTTAAAAAGATTTCTTATCACTTAGTATAGTGTCCTGGCCCCAGGGTGCATCCTATCTGTTGTAATAACTGTTAGAAGGTGTTGTGTCGTATTGCACCTGAGTTATGGTGACATAATATTAATACAAAATGCAGTTTTATTTGACTATGCTGACATCAAATTGGAATAATTTTACAAATTGTTAGCCTCATGTGAACCCACAAAATAAGATTATTCTGTAATTGCCTTTCTTGTATGCATATCTTCATATTATATCCTTCATTTTCTTCCCAGTGAAGGATACTAAAACACCCTTCTGGGAAATAATCTCAGAAGTCAGTGTACAGAATGGACTTGAGAATAACCCTGTGAGGAATGTTAAGAAACACAGTAGTGTGTGGAGCGCAGACACTGGAGGATAGAAATAAGCAATAGCTGCCCATGACAGCCCTGCCTCAAATGATCTAGAGCCTCTGGTGTCTGGCAGAATACTGTCTTTGCATCCATTATGTCTGAAGAATCTAATGCCTTGTTTTAGAAAATAAAATAAACCCTTTGATGCTTTTAATAAGCCTTTAATCTTAAATGGAATTGGGCCATTTATTTAGTAAGTACAAATACTGTGAATCTGGGATTGGGTTAAACTCTTCTTATTCAATTTCACAGAAAAATATTTTAAAATATTGACATGTATTATAAATATAATCACTCAGTGATCTCTATCCCAAAGCTAATTACTGACCCTCAATTATTTTTCCCATGTTTTTCTAAGTTAGATGTTTTCAATAAAGATGAGATATCTATTATAAATCACTGACCTTGAAGGCTGTCCTGCTATTTTTGTGAGAATCCATATAATTACAGTGAATGAAAAATGTCAACTACTGGCAGCTCTAACCTAAAAAGTTCCAGGTTCACTTAAAAGAGAACTTAGTGAGACAGTCATTTATCATATATTTATTATTGGAACAAACACCTATTAATCTGAATTATACTCATTTTCAGAGAACTATTGCAAATGTGATCCTGTCCATCAACACATAACTAATGAAAAGGAGTATTCTCAATATAATAAGCTTGACAAAGTGCTTGATGACCCCTCTACAAGTACACTTTATAAAACAGGTGAAACTACAGAAAACTCTAATAACTACACTTGCAGTAACCACAGGGATGCTTCTACTGACTCATCAAACCCAGACAGACATGAAAGCATGCACACTGGAAAAGAAACTTGCAAATCTAAAGATTGTGAGAAATCTTTAAATCTGTGTTCCAACATGACTCAAGATCAGAGACTCTATACTACAAAGAAAGAGCACAGGCAGCGAGAATATGATGACTATTTCAGCGCTGCATACAGTCTTTTGCAACAACCAATCTATATTGGAGAAACACCGTACCAATGTGGGAAATGTGAGAAATGCTTCAGTACTGCCTCAAGCCTTACTGTACATGAGAGAATTCATACTGGAAAAAAACCCTACAAGTGCAACTTTTGTGACAAATCATTTAACCAGTGTGCAAATCTAAAAACACATCAGAGACTTCATACTGGAGAGAAACCTTACAAATGTAAAGAATGTGGAAAGTCATTTCCACAGCTGTCAGCACTTAAAAGCCATCAAAAATTGCATACTGGAGAGAAGCCTTACAAATGTAAGGACTGTGACAAATTGTTTGCCCACTGTTCCAGTTTCAGGAGACATCAGAAAATCCATACTGATGAGGAACATTATAGCTGTGAAGAATGTGGCAAGGTCTTTCATCAGATTTCACACCTTAAAAGCCATTACAGACTCCATACTGGAGAGAAGCCTTACAAATGCAATGACTGTGACAGATCCTTTCCCCACTATTCATCATTGAGTAGGCATCAGAAAACTCATTCTCTAGAGAATTTTCACAAATGCAAAGAATGTGGTAAGCCCTTTCTTGAATTATCACATCTTAAAAGACATTACAGGATCCATACTGGTGAGAAGCCTTACAAATGTGAGGTATGTGACAGATCCTTTACTGTGAATTCAACTCTTAGAACACACCAGAAAATTCATACTGGGGAGAAACCTCACAAATGTGAGGTATGTGACAAATCCTTTACCAAGTACTCACATCTTAAAAGACATCAGAGTATTCACACTGGAGAGAGACCTTACAGATGTAAGGAATGTGACAGATCTTTTACTGAGTTCTCAACTCTTAGAGAACATCAGAAAATACATACTGGAGAGAAACCCTACAAATGTGGAGAATGTGACAAATCCTTCATCCAGCGGTCAAATCTTAGAATACATCAGAGAATTCATACTGGAGAGAGACCTTACGTATGTAAAGAATGTAACAAATCTTTTACTAAGTGTTCAACTCTTCAAGCACATCAGAAAATTCATACTGGAGAGAAACCTTACAAATGTATGGAATGTAACAAATCTTTTACCCAGGACTCACATCTTAGAACACATCGCAGAGTTCATACTGGAGAGAGACCTTACAGTTGTAAGGAATGTGGCAAATCTTTTACTAGGCGCTCATATGTTAAAGCACATCAGAAAATTCATACTGGAGAGAAACCATACAAATGCAAAGACTGTGGCTTTTCCTTTATCCAGATGTCAAATCTTAGAAGACATCAAAAAATTCATACTGAAGAGAAAAATACTGTTGTAAATAATGTGACATAGCATTTTCTGGTGTTCTCTGTTTACAAATCACAACAGTATACAAAATAGATATAGATAAGAAAAATTTGAAAGTCTTTAATGAAGGTTTACATTTAAAACAATATCCTAGAGTGTATATTAAAATAAAACTCTACAAATGTAAGAGTGGGACAAGCTTTTTATTTCTTTTAATGTGTATGCGTGCTTTGCCTGCAAATATGTCTGTGCACTACATGTATGCCTGGTGCATGCAGAGGACAGAAGGGTTCGTTGGATCTCCTGAAACTGGCATTCTAAGCAGTTGTGAGCTGCTGTGTATGTCTTGGGAATTTAAACCCCATCCTCTGGAAGAGCTCTTAATGACTAAGCCATGTCTCCAGCCCATGTGAAAAGCTGTAATAAAAATATTTATCTTGTTCCACATCCAAAAATTTATAATAGTGCCAGGCAATGTGATATACCTCTTTAATTCCAACACTCAAGAGGCAGAGGCAAGAAGATCTCTGTGAGTTGGAGGACATCATCACCATCTACATACTGAGTTACAAGACAGCCAGGACTACACAAATCCTGTCTCAAAAAAAAAAAGTTATGATAAAGTAACAAAGCACATGACAAAGCCTTTGATTTTTCCTTTAATTCTGTACATGATCAAATTCATAATTCTGAGAAATCATATAAAGGTATACCTTGTATAATCCCTATATCTTGCTGTTCATTGGAAAGTACACCCCTCAAGTGCATTGGATTTGACAGATCTTTTACATAGTGCTGAAATTGCAGAGATAAAAGAAAATTCCATCATGAAAGAAAAAGCAGTTAAATTCATATCTTTTATTTACCTTCAAAATCTTTATACTAGAGTCAAATCATACAAATATCAAGAAGATGACTAACTAAAGAAATAGGCTGTGAATGTGACATCACTGGAATGCTGACATACAATTTAGAAATCCCCAAAGGCTAAGGATATGGTAACACATACCTTTAATCCCAGCTCTCTGGAGGCAGAGGAAGGTGAATCTCTGTGTTCAAGGCTAGTCATGTATAAACAGCAATTTCCAAGACAGCCAAGGTTACACAGAGACACTCAGTCTTGGGGAAAGAAATGAGGGCACTGGGGGAAATCATTTTGAAGTACTGAAGGAAAATGGGAAATTTAACTGAATTAAAATAAAATGATATAGCTTCCTGTCTTAGTTTGGGTTTTTATTGCTGTGAAGAGACACCATGGCCATGGCAACTCCTATAAATGAAAATATTTAATTGGGGGTGCTCACTTACAGTTTCAGAGGTTCAGTCCATCATGGTGGGGAGCATGGCAGCGTGCAGGCAGACTTGGTGTTGGAGCTGAGAGTCCTATACCTTGACTCAAGAGGCTACAGGAAGTTGACTGACAGTCACATTGAGGGAAGCTTCAGAAAAAGACTTCAAAGTCCACCCACACAGTGACATACTTCCAACAGAAGGTGTGACCCAGATTAGTGTGCCCTTCAGCCTCACGTTCTGGATTAAAGGTGTGTGTCATCCAGCCTTCTCCAACAAGACCACACTTCCACCAACAAGGCCACACCTAGTAGTGCCACTGCTTATGAGCTTATGTAGGCCAAATAGTCAAACTACCACGCTTTCATTAACTGCCAGTAGACCTTCATGGAAGTAAAGGAAACTTGTGGGACCCACCCTTAGCCATGATGAAGTGGCAATTTCCCATTCTTACAAAATTGCTTATTCTTAGTATCTTTTGAATAGTTTTAAGTCTCTGTATTACTCACCACCAACTGCACCAGGAGACTTCTTTCACCAAGGATGAGTGCCAGTGGCCATGTCAGAGTAGCAGCAGGTGGCAATTGAAGTTCAAGGTGTCAGCCCACCAGGAGGAGACTCACTGATGGGCCAATCTCAGTCAGGCAAGGCTCCCCAAGACCACAGACCACAGTTTCTTTTCCTTCTGCTGTGCCTCTACATGTTTGCTGTTGCTATCTTTCTCTGATATCTGCCATGGTTGAATTGGGTGTGGGGAGATTCCCTGCTGCCTGTAATGTAATGTGTTTATCTCATGGAAACATCCCATTCTACTGGGCATTTTTACCTGTGGATTACTATGAAGATGATTTCTTCTTATACTGTACTATCTAATTGATAATAATAATATTAGCTTATACAGAGTTTTGATGAATAAAGGTAAATACAAGGAAATGTTACATGTCTAGAGCCTATGAATTTCACTTAAGGAGCTGCCTAGATCATAACTGAAGTTAATGGTTAGAGAAACAGTTGAATCCCAGGAGCCAGGCCAACATGAATTCCTTTAATTTTAATGCTGAGAGACACAGTCACAAGTCTTGGTGTGCATCATTACCTGAAACAAAATGTTTTTACCTTTACTCTGTAGGGATTTAGGAGAATCACTATATGGGGTAGATATTAGATTGAACATGTGTTTTTTTTAGGAGCACCTTGACCTTAAAGAATCCTTGTGGAAAACAATGATTGTTTTACAGAGGGGGACCTTGCAGCCATCCCATGACTTTGGTCACAAGACACCTTAGGCACTCCTGGGGCTCTTGTATTACTGTGTATTACACACAATGCATAATGAAGGACTAGAGTCATGGAGGGATGTGATAGTCTTCTTCAGTAAGACATGCAAATTAAGGTTAGGGACCTTGGTATGAGGAAATACTTTATGTAACAATCTATAAGTATGCTTTTGTATGGCTGTTGAGGTTCATGGCCAACCTAGTCCAGTTCAGTCAGTCCATAAGAAAAAGCTGGAGAATAAAGAAGGAAACCATCAAGAGAGTATGTGAGTATGTTTTTCACTAACCCTCTCAGATAAAAAAAAAAAAGAAATCTAGTTTGTGTCAATGCTATGGATTTTCCCTTCAAGTCCTGTGCTGCCTGGAGGCTGGTCCCGCAGACAGCCTTAGATGAGAGTAGTACAAGTTGATAATTATAAACATGAATATTTTGCTGGCAGATTAACAACATGATCATTAACAAAATATCAATAGATTCTGCCCTTGAACCTGTAGTTCCCAAGCCATGATTTTACCATGGCATAAATTTCTGTCTATGATGTAGGCTTGAAATCCAATGAAGAGCGAGGTTGGTTATGTCCTTAAATAGTGATGCCGGTATTGCACCAGTGCACACATCTTGGCTAGCAGGTTGGTACTGTAGGATTCATAGCCCAGGGGTAAGATCATTGACATTATTTTTCTGAGAACAGCCTGCACAGGACCTTACATTACAGTGCTACAAAATCTAGCCAGCCAGGAGAGTTCCCTGGTAAATTCAAGATTGCTCTCTGTCTCTTTACAACCAAAGTCTTTGGAGTCTTCAGCAGCACCATGTATTTACGGTAGCTATTGCAGCCTGAAAGACCAGCTCCCAAAACTGCACCCAGGGTTGCAGAAAGAATGCTTTACAGAGCAGTGGGATTTTAGGAATTTTTTTTTTAATCTGAGGATCTTTAGAAATAAGTTTGTCTATCTCAGTGAATTAGACTCAGACATGAACTGAGGGGGTCATATGTTATTCTTTTACAGCTCCAATTTTCTGGGTTTTTTGTTTGTTTGTTTGTTTGTTTTTTAGCTCTAATTCTCTAGCTTCTTTTCAGTTCTAATTTCCTGGCTTCTTTGTTCTATGTGGCTTATATACACAGTCAACAGAAGGCTTGAGGCAATAAAAAGAAAAATTACAAAAGCTACATCTCAGGGTCATAGCACATTCAATGACAACACATACACAGGGACATGGTGCTTGGCACTTTCCCGGCAGTGGTATTGAAAGTGTCCCAAATCTAAAAATATATTCTCTTATCCTGTTTCTAACCCCACATCGTAAGGCAGGGAACTTGATACTCTTTATTCAAGACTGTGAGGACAAACCATTCTCTGTTGTTCTGGCTAATAGTGAAACTTTTCCCGCATAAAGCTGTTTCTGTCTGGATTTGGTTAATTGGTTAATTGCTATTGTTGTCCTCCATATAAATTTTAGGACTTAAGCAGTTAGTTACCTGAGCCTTGAATTTTATACCAGAAACTAAGGTTGGAAGTTTGTGCGTGGTGTTAATTGCTAAGGGATTTAGTAGGGAGTGGTTGCTGGTCTCTGTTATCAGCCAGGCCTCACTAGAGAAACTGGTATAGTATTTTAGGTTGCTTTGTATTTAATAACCTTGGTTAGACATCTGCAACTCTGTCCCTGTGCATATCCATTTACAGAGACATTCAGTCTAGTTTGAATTTGCTCTTGAGGTTTTGAATCAGTAAACTGTATGTGGCTTGTCTTAGAATTGTGAAGAAATTGTTTACTTTATACCAATCTGAACTAATGATAAAAAAACAGGGCCTAAGTGTCTTAAAGTCTTTGTGGAACCATAGATCTAGTTATGAAGCATATCCTAGTAAATTTTTGTTTATCAAAATTATATAGCTTAATGAGAAGTCATTGTCTTGATCATTCATAAATATATATGCTCAATAGATGGAATATATGCATGCTATAAACACAAGCATTGGGGAAATACCCATAGCTGTTTTTAAGGAAGAAATGTAGTAGCACATGGGAAAAATTACAGACAGAAGCAACAGTGTTTACAGTCAGTAATCCCGTAAGCCTTGCGTGAGGTTCCTCCATCAGGGAGTTATTTCTCTGGTGAGTCAGCACCTGGATTATCAGTTGCCATCTGCTGTATATTCTTAATGGCCTCTGGCAGGTGGCCAAGCAAGAGTACTGGCAATGACCTGTTTTGTTTGGGGTGGCTCTAGGGCCGACCCAATTAAATGTTTTCTTTCATAAGAGTTGCCATGATCAAGGTGTCTCTTCACAGCAATAGAAACTCTAAGACAGAAGTTGGTACCGGGAACTGGGGTATTGCTATGATAGGCCTGACCATGTTTTTGTTTGCAGTAATAAGGACTTTGGGACTGAGGATTTAAAAAGCAGTTATTTTCTGCTTTAAGTCATGCTTAATGTGCCATACTAGTGGAAGCATGGAAGACAGTAGTGCTGAATGTGATTTTTTGAACTGTGGGAATTAAGAAGCTTCAGAGCATAAGTGAAAGGGTGATAAACAGCACTGGTGGTGGCGCTGGTTACCTCATGGAAAGGTCACGATCACGACAGAACCCAGTGTCAGTTTTTAGAGCTTTATTA